ATTTACAGGAAATCACCAGAAATTTCACGTTTAGTAAGATACAATCACGTTTTTTGTTATTCAAGATAGTAGAATTAATTTTTACTTACGAGATCTCACCTGAAAAATAAAGCGAATTTTTCTGTAAATTTTCATGTAATAAGTCAATTTTGGTAAAAAGTGTAGATACGAGGGTTCACTTCTTCAACGACGATATGTGGTAATATCAAACATATTGGTATCGTTGTATAGGCAAATTAATAAGGAATTTTATACTAAAATATTATATAAGATGTTGCAATTGAAAAAATTAAGTATATTGAACTTAAAATTACTCATATTTAAGATATGTTTCAAAACGTTCTATATAATGTAAACCAGTTCTATCACCACTTTTTATTAGCTTAGTTTCTCATAAGTCTTTATACTAAACAATTTGGGGTCTGCATCATTTTCTTATTTAAAGAAAAAATTAATTGCTTGGCAACACTGTAATATTTTTTAAAAATATTTAAGAATTCAATACAGTATTAATGAATCATTTTAAAAATAAAATAAAATACAGGGTGTTCTATTTAAAAAACATACATTTTTATTTGTCAGGCACAAACGCAAAAATAGTTTTAAATCCTGTATTTTTCATTTGAAACTTTTTTTGTGTCTATAACACAGATTTAAATATTAAACAGTTTATGCACTGACGGGAAACCCTGTATATTGCAGAGCCCCGTAAAGGGTCCTATAACGATTGAGTTATTTCCTGCTATATTTAGGCCGTTAATTTTGTCTGCTCTTGGACGAACCCTCGAACCCTCTATTAATATTCTGAACTACTTGTGTCCAGAAAATTTCAACTATATCCTATAGAGTTTCTTATTTACCTGTTTCATTTGCACCTCTTTAATATGTTGATATGAAATTCCATATATTGTTTTCTCATTTCTTTTTAGGTAAAAGATATGATTTCTATTTTCTTAATACTTCTTCTTTCAAGAGTGATCTAATTACGTTCTTTTAAGACCGGGAGGGAATATTGGTAGTCCAATTTGGATTTCCACCCTTTGCAGTGCTTTAAGACCTGCCTGGCTGTCTGTCATATAAAAGAGTCAATTTACATAATCACAGGATAAAGAACAATTTTCTTCTTTTTTCTGTGTTATAATATTATAGTCACACACTGAAAATAAATCTGTTCATAATATTAATAAAATTCATTTATTGACACAAAGTTCATTGGTCCAATTAATTTTTCATTAATATTATGAAAAATTTTATACACTTTTTAAATCAATTTATAACCAGGGTTATTAATATAATGAATCCCGTTTATTAAAAAATAATGTAGTCATTCACTGTTACAATAAAATATTTTATCGAAATTTCATGTTATTGATAAATTTATTCATTAGGCAAATGAATAGAATTAACAACGAAAATTCATAACATTGATACACAAGTTCATTAGTCAATAAACAGGTACATTGCCTGAATTTACCAAATATTATGCTCATAATATGCTAATGCTAATGTTTGTCAGCTCAATAAATGTATACATTGCCGCAATGAACGATTTATAGCCGACCTTTGCCGATATACCCCGATTGGCACCCAAGCTCAAGCTTGGCAGCAGAGAAAGACTGAAAGTGTTATTTGTTTTTTCTCGTTCCAAAAGGAATAAGGTGGCTTACTGGCTTTTCGTATTTCTTATAATTTAGGTGTATCGAATAGGTGTTTTTAATTTGTGTATTCGGTAAGTACTTACTATTATTAAAGATATTGATGGCTTATTTACAATATAACGTAACCCCGAATCGGTAAGTTTTTCATTGTACAGGAAAAACATACACATCAACCAATAAGACGCCATGTTACCGTGTAGGTTTATATTTAAAAGATTTAGCATTTTGCTGGCAAATGCAGAATAGGTAGTATCTTCTGTATAATGGCGATATTTTTTTAATTTGTGGTTTACGTCTTATTGCAAATAAGCCATCGACTCAATACCTAAAATCATGGGGTCTGGTCGGATTTAGTGCCAAACAAATTTGACTTTTTTGTAGAAAACAGGTGTTAATGCCTTAAATATTTCTGAATTTCTAATGATACATGTATCCACAATTTTCACAAATAGCAATTGTTGCTTCGTTGGTATGAAATTTTAAAAAAAATGTGATGTTTAAACTAAAAATTTGTCTGGTTTATCCAGCCTATGACGTCGTATTGGCACAAGTTGGCGTGACGTGTAGACGTGTTAGCGATGTTGTCAAATATATGCATGTTTTCTTTATGTTTCTTGGTTCCAGCCAAATTTCGAATTTTGTTATTTATTATTAATATATTTTTATTGTTTAAATGTTATTTTGTTGTTTATTAAGTTAGTTTGAAAACAGAGTTAAGGGTTGGACTAGGGTTGGGTTGGCGCCTTTTAAGAAATAAAAAAGCAATGAGTGAAACGTTAAAAAGAGGCAGAAGGATCACAATTTGTGATTTTTTGGCAACTTGTGATTTAAATTAGCGGATACAGATAGTTCTTCTTAGTTCCAACCAATCACGACAGCCGAATACTAGATTGTATTCAATGTTATGTGTTTTTTTTTTAATTAATAAAATTGCAAAAACAGAGTTGGGTTGGGATTTGTCTTCGGTTTGAGTTTAAGAAAAAAATCTTGTATTCGGCTATTACTGTCAATGGGAAGAAAAGGACGAACTATTTGCATCCGTCAATGTGATTAAGCATCTCGTTTTGGATAGTAGACCGTGCGTTGTGTGTTTTCGTAAAAATGTATTTAACCTTCGAGAAATATTTAAAAATGCAGTGTCTATTCTACCGATCGGTCGGCATAATAATGGGAGTGTCTATTCTGCCGACCGGTCGACAGAATATTTATTTTCTATTTGACCGACTAGTTTTCGTTTGGTATGACCTTAATTGCAAGTGCAAATTTATATATGATCTAATTGACATTTTACTTTGTAGATCGACATGAACTTTACTGCAGCTTTCGAGAATGCTGATGGTCTATTAAAGAATTGGCCAACATATTGTAATACAATTCTTTCATTTTTTAACGATGAAAACCATATTAAAGAAAAGGGGATACGACGAATTTTAGCAAATATGACAAACGAAGACCTTAGTGAAAGTAAGTGTTAGTGACTGTTTTACAAATTTTATGAATTAGTTTTGCTTCTACTCTACATTTTATTACATTTTTAAAAACATTTTAGATGGTCGTGATGCGGCAATAATGTGGGCGCTCCATGGATATTTTGTACCAACAAATAAAACTATCAAAAAAGATGAAACCCTGGGCAAGAAAGTCACAACAAAATTCACCATAAAAGATTCGCAAGATTCCTTCCTATACGTAGCAAAATGTGCACAGGAATTAGAAGACCATTTGGAATTTCTTAAAAACCAAAAACAAGCCATACAGCCATTTATATTGACTGTTGGCGAGGATGTCCTTTCTATCAAAGAGATAGTTGTCTATTTCGATGGAATTCGATTCACATTTTGTCATTTTTTAAGGGCTGTGGACATATGTTATAAAATATTTTTTCTTTTTAATTTAGATTTTCCTAAAAAGTCCCAAATGTTTTGGACTTTTATACAAACATACTTTTATAAAAGTAAACCAGAAAAATCTTTTTCAAAAATTCATATTTTGGCATATTTTTATCAGACAAACAAGATAGTTAAGTCGCTGTTTTTTAATTAATATATAATTTTAAATATAATAAACGTAGAGGCATATAACTTTAATGGATTATAGGTGTAGAATAAGTGTTTTTTTTTTGAGTTATAAAACTATACTTTTTGCAAAAAAACATTTGTTTATATAAAAGGCACTTTTCAAAATTAATTTCTACAGTTTAGGAATATCGTAGAGAATCGTGGTTGGGCTTATGTTGTTCCTAAAGAGTGAGACTGTTGATCACTTATCTAAAATATGGAATATGGGCGCCGCAATATTGATTATAAATGTGCTTAGTGGCTTTCTAATGGAAAAGTCCTTACAACGTAGCACTTTTTTATAATTAATTCTGCGGCGACCACATTGCAAAAATCAATTTACATATTTTTTGCACGAAACCCCCCTCTTTAATTGGTTTATGTTTTATAATTTTTCATGTCTATTTTTTGAAATTTGTTAATATATATATAAAAAAACATTGAATTTTTTTATAGACCCATCCTACTGTTCCTTTTCTTTATACATTGTTGTAATGTACTACATATATATATTTGCTCGATGTTCAATGTACGTTGTATCACTGAACCATGAATATTGGGACAATAAAATATTCATGAAATCAATAAATGAAGTACACTATTTCAATGTATGTGATACACTGGCTTAATCAATATTCTGCATTGGCTCGATGTACAATGTACGCTGGATCATTGAACCATGAACATTGTGACAATGTAAGTTTTTCATGAAATTAATAAATAAAATTAACTGTTTCCATGTATGTGATACACTGGCTTAATCAATATTCTACATTGACTCGATGTACAATGTACGCTGGATCATTGAACCATAAACATTGTGACAATGTAAGTTTTTCATGATATTAATAAATAACTTAACTGTTTCAATGTATATGATACACTGGCTTAATCAATATTCTACATAATTTCAATGTATATGATCATTGACTCAAAGAATTGCAGGGCATAAAAATCAGTGAACTAAATCCATAAATACAATGTACCTTACATTGAGCAATGAACACGTTTATTAACTTATGAAAAATATTTATTGAGAAAATTAATTTGTACGTTGGACTGATTTTAACGAACATTTTCATTGTCCCGATCACTTTTTTAATTATATTTACGCTACTTTTTGGTTGAGTGCAGGCATTTATTGGCGCTTCACCCTAGAGGGCTACTAAATTTAATAGCATTATTCTTTATTTGCGTTAATTTATTCTCTGTAATTTTAAAGGCAAGAGGCCAGTCAAAACGAAGAAGAATAAATATCAAAATCAATCATAAATGACAAATCGCTATGAATCAAATTCACAAAAATGACTTAAAATTTAAAAGAAAACCTGTTTATGGTCCAATAATATGGAGAAGATTAGCATTAGGCGTCCGAATTCAAGATCTTCTACCTAACAACTTTGAAATAGTAGTTGACATAATTTTAAAATATTATATTAAAGGAAATGTAATTTTTAATAATTCAAGGATTCTAGATGACCCGATTTCAGTACAATCATTTACAGACAGATTATACAGAGTAATGAAGCAGTGTATTTCGCTTGTAGCTGTCGATGAAAGAACTGACGAAATAATCGGTTGCTTATTGATAACGCGAGTAAAACAAGAAGACTATGGAACAGAATATAATACTCTAGAAATTGGAGACGGTAAAGTTTACCGAAAGATTACTGAATTTCTTAACGATGTAAACAGGACAGTAGACATATTTGCAAACTTTGATACAAATGTTTACCTAAAATATTGCAATATCTGTATTACAGATGATTATAGAAACAATAAAATAGGTTTTAACATGCTGTCGGCTAGTTTCGATTTAGCACGTTATTTAGAAATGCCTGTAATTATGGCTATTGCTGACTCGTATATGCTTCAGAAGATTTTGATGAAACTCGGTTTTAAACTTTTGCACGAAAGCGATTATAGAAATTGGAACGATGCTACAGGAGAGTTGGTTTTTAATGAAACTGGCTCAGGAAATTATACATGCAGCGTATTAGCCTGCTCGGTTCCACAAGCTCCAGATCCAGAACCGGTGGTTATTGAAAGGCGCGAAAGTACTCATCTTTCCAAAGAAAAGAGTTTACCAAAGAAAAAGAAAGAAACTAAATAAACGGTAGTGTTCAATACAAAATTAGTAGACGTCTACAAAGAAATTATTGAATGAAAATAAAACTAACAGATGTTCTTAATTATTTCCAAAAGATATTAATACATTCGTTTGGTTCTTAAAACAAAGAGGTTACTTAAAAACTTTACTAGGACTTTGAAAAATAGGTAATTTTATAGATTTTAATGTGCTATATCCGATTGACAACTTTGCCAACTCATATATTTGCTACTCGCGCTGCTGTATTGGAAAACTGGCGCCCAAAAGTAGTTTTTGGACATTGGGGGTTATGATTGACAACCTGTGTTATTTTTAACAGGTCTGTTATTTTATAAACACACAGAAATAATATGTTCACAAAATAACGTGCCTGTTAAAAATAACATTACTTGTCCATCATAACTCGTTTCAAAATAAAAACATTTATATTCAGAATTAAACTAAAGAAAATTTCCTACAATTTATATACTAACCTTTTTTTCGTAAAATCAATAGTTTTGGCGTACGAGTCCCAAAATGTAGTTTTGGCAAAAATCTAATTTCCATACCATCTTGAAGTAGAATTAGTGGCGCATTGCATTTTTTAATCGTGGTATCCTCAGTAGGCCTAATTCATATTCAATTTACTATTCCAAAATTTTGTGCATTCTCCTTTGCACCACTTGTTCATTTTACGGTCTAAGTGAGACCAGAGCTGCTGTACGAGTTCAGTAGCACACTCAAGTAGTAAACAGGTCATCACTGCTACTATGGTTACGTTGACCACTGCATTATATGTCTAATGTTATTTCGACCAAAGAGTACAAAATATAACTATAAAAGAGAAGTCACTCGCGGGATTTACAAAGGAAATCGAGCTCAAATGCGGGCCGATAAGTCGGCGTTTTTTCAAACAGTACAGAGCTAATTGGGCTATACCGAGGTTAAGCGGTAAGACGCGGCGGCGATGATAGTGGAATGTAACGACCAATACACAGCGGAATCTAACGTAGCAGAGGAAATCGAGCTCAAATGCGGGCCGATAAGTCGGCGTTTTTTCAAACAGTACAGAGCTAATTGGGCTATACCGAGGTTAAGCGGTAAGACGCGGCGGCGATGATAGTGGAATGTAACGACCAATACACAGCGGAATCTAACGTAGCAGAGCAAACGAGCCTTACGCGGTATACTGCCGATCGAAAAAGGACTGTGGAGGACTGGCGGCTGATCGAGTTAGAAGGCGATAATTGGACGAGTGACTCCTCTTTTATAGTTTTTTTTTGTACTCTTTGATTTCGACATAACATTTTATTTTATTATATTATAAATATATTAGCCGCATGTTCGATGCAGAGTTTATGACTTTCACATTGCCACTTTAGGGACAACACTGTTATGTTTTAAATTAATTATATTACTATGTATTTATGATTTAAATATACAGTTTCTTGCAAAAATGTTTGCACCAAGAAAACATTTTTTAAATTTTTTTAATTTGTTTCAAAAAATGCCAAATTAAAGATCATTCAAATTTATGAAGTTTGGGTATATTCGGTTTTAGTATGCTCCAACTTTTTTTAAGAATAAAAGACTAAAAAAATCATGAATAAAAAGGTTTTCCATTTAACGCAAACTATTTGTAACATACTATACAAATGTTAATGTATAATTTATTTTAATTATATTGTATATTATATATATAATTTATTTAAATTAAAAATTTTATTATTATAATTTTTTATTCAAAGCTATTAAAAGTTATTTTGTAGATCATAATTTTCTAAATACAACCCTGTCAAACAAATAGTTTTTTTTTCTATTTTTGAAGCCTCGGCGGCCAGGGCTATTCGGCCTTGTGTGTTCTCTGTGCGCTTTGGTAATTTATCCTGTCACCACTATAGAAACAGTACTGTTAATAATTAGAATCCAACAGTGAATGGTTGGGTGAGAATCTACTTCAGAATAAATGAATTTAATGAATAAGAAAAAATCACAGCCAACAACGGTAGTATTCGAACTCCAGACCCTTGAATTTGGAAATTTGAATTTAAGCACTAACCACCTTTTACTTAGTTGCTCAAAAAAAAATTGGTATTTTTGCCAATTTTGATTCCACTTTGTATACAGGGGTGTCCCATTAGTGAGTAATTGTTCAATATTTCAATTTTCGTTGCAGACACGCAAAATAATTTTACTAAAAAGTTATACAGGTTTGAAAAATATATATTTTAAAAATAGTTTTTAAATAGCACACCCTGTATTTTATTTCATTTTCAGAATGACATGGTAATAGTGTATTCAACCGTAGAATGTTTTTAAAAAATATTGAATTGCAATTAATTTTTTTTGTTATTAGAGAATAATGCAGACCCCAAATTAAATTACCCTAATAATTTAAGAAGGTTAACATTGATTTTAAAATTATTTATTATATTCGTTAAGTGATGTTTTGAAACATGCCTTAAATATGGATAATTCTAAGTTCATTTTACTCAATTTTTCAAATGCAACACTCTGCTGTATATTATTTTGACATTAAATTCCTTATACATTTACCTATCCAACGATATCAACATATACAGGGTGTCCCATCAGTGCGAAATTGATCGATAGCAGTTTTATTATTGGAAAATACGAAAATTGTATTATCATGTTTGATAAATATTTTTAAATATACAGGGTGGTCCATAAACGAAAGGGTGACCAAACTTATACATTTTTAAAGCAAAACACCCTGCGGGTAGTTATACATATTTTGATTGTTTTCACATAGTCAAACAATTTTAATAGACTTTATTTATTTACTGTCTTCTATATAAGGTATGAGAAAATGCGGGGTAACGATTTTCTTAATTTTTTAAATAGAATATTCTATATATTATAATACTAATTAATACATGGTATTCCATTTAAAAAGTCAAGAAAATCGTAACCATACGTTTCGATTCACCCTATACCAATAAAAATTCACAGACCAGATGTTTTGGTAAGAAATAGAGATATTTTAATTCTGTAAAAGCCAGTTTACAAAGCACTAAGTGAGCTTCAGTCTTAGATATTAATTGTTTTTAAATAGGCCAATATGTAGATGGCGCTGCGCACAATATTTTTTTTTTTTTTCGATTAGAGGATCTTTCTTGTGTAGCGCATCTTGTAAAAAATGCATTTTAATGCAAATTTTGTTATATGAACTAATTCGATAATTCTAGCTATTTTTGATATCAGAGAGGGTTACTTAAAACAGTTTCATCCTGTTTTTCGGCATTAATCATAGGATTTTAAAAAAATGCTAAAACAGATCGATTTTTATTCCAAAATAAAGACATTTTTACAATGCAGACATCTGTCATGTGTCAACCCCCTCCCTTGTACTTCTACAACTTAATTTTAAAAAGGTAATGTACCATGTATCATTAAAATGATAATGTAATGGAGGATTCAAAAATATCTTTAAATTGCGTTACTTAAATTTTTGCGCCCTTTAGCGGGATAAAAAACTATAACTTATTATAAAGTGTGACACCACCATGTAGAGTACATTACTAAAAAGGTAATAGTATGGGGAATTCAAAAATATGACTGTTTATTGCGATACTTTTAATTGTACCGCCCTCTATCAGGATAAAACACTGTACGTATTATAAAGTGTGACACTTTATTTGAAAGCAAATTAAATTACTAATTCAATACACCATTTAACATTAATATAAATATCCTCCCTATTGCACTTGCAATATTTTAAAAAATAGTCATACATTATTTTAAACGTTACTGCTAACTTAATTTTGTTGCAAGTGCAATGTGGAAATATTTATAATAATGGTATGTGGGGCAATAAATTATTAATTAAATTAGGTTTCAAATGAAGTATCACACTTTATAATACGCTACAGGTTTTTTATCTCGATAGAGGGCGCTAAAATTAAAAATATCGCAACAAACAGTCATATTTCTGACTTTTCCATAAAATTACCTTTTCAATGGATGGTACGTTCCTTATTTAAAATGCAGGGGTTGGAGAAGTGGAAGGTAGGGGGTTGAGACATGACAGATGTCTGCATTGTAAAAATGTGTTTAATTTGATATACAAATCGATATGTTTTAGCATTTTCTTAAAATCCAATGATTAATGGCGAAAAACAGGATGAAACAGTTTGAGTGACCCAATCTGTATATCAAATGGCTAGATTTATTAAATTAGTTGCTGTACCAAGATCTGCTTTAAAATGCATTTTTTACCAGAAGCGCTATACAAGAAAGATCATCCCATCGAAAAAAAAAAAAAGTATTGAGCGCAGCAACATCTACGTATTGACCTATTTAAAATTTATTTATATCTAAAATTTAAGCTCTCTTAGTGATCTATAAACTGACTTTTACAGAATTAAAATAACTTTATCACTTATTAAAATATTTGGCCTGGGAGTTTTTATTTAATAAAATCGTTTGACGATGTGAAAACAATAAATATGTATAACTACTTGCAGGTTATTTTGTTTTAAAAAAATGAAGATTTTGTCAGCACTTTTTTTGGACCACCCTGTATATTTAACTATAACTGTTTTTAATATGGTCATACAACTTTTATATTAAAAATTTCTAATAATAAAACAGCTATCGATCAATTACAAACTGATGGGACACCCTGTACATGTGTTATTGACTAATATTAGTATCGTTGTATAGTAAAATTTATAGATTTTATACTAAAATATTATACAGGGTGTTGCATTTGAAAAAATTAAGTAAATTGAACTTTAAATTAGCCATATTTAAGACGACGCCACTTTTCGTTAGCTTAGTATCTTATAAGTTTGTATAATAAACCATTATGATAATTTAATTTGTGGTCTGCATCATTCTTTAATAACAAAAAAAAATTAATTGCTTAGTAACTCTGTAATATTTTAAAAACATTTTAGAGTTGAATACAATATTAATAAACCATTCTAAAAGTAAAATAAAATACAGGGTGTTCTATTTAATAACTTTTATTTAAAATTTTGTTACGTGTGTATAACACA